TTACGGCAGCAGCGAATGTGAGTCGATCCGGCGAGCACGTCATAAGCTCGAGTAGATCGAGAGCGCATTTTTCTTCGTGGTTTTGAGCGTAGGCCATAAGTAGCGCGTTCCAGGAGACGACATCGTGGCTGTGCATTCGATCGAAGATCCGGCGAGCGTCGATCAAGCTCCCACAGCTGGAGTACATGTCGATCAGTGTGCTAGCCAGGAAGAGATTGGAGCAGCAGTCCAAGCCGAAGTTGAGTGCTTTAGCATGCAAAGCCATGCCAGTTTCCAAAAACTTACAAGTGCTCCGTCCTTCCTCATGAGACTCTCGTGCTACTCGAGCACAAGCCTTGAAACCAACCACAAAAGTTCGATCGTCAACCATGGACGATCTCTCTTGAGTGATTTTTGAGAAGAGATCCAGAGCAACTTGACTTTGAGAGCCCATGATGTAACCCAGAAGCAATATGTTCCATGGATAAATCCCATGCGCTGGCATTTTTTCGAAAGCTCTCTTAGCATCCACTATAGAGCAAGAACTCTCGCGAGTAAGTGCATTGAGAAATGCAGTCCAAGTGACAAAATCTCGCTGAGGCATCTCGTCAAAAAGATTTTGTACCTGTTGTATACAATGCCCGGGCGCGGCAACTGCATTCATTATTGACCCCCACGAAACTACACTCCTTTCCGGAATTTTCTCGAAAACAAGCAGCGCATTTTCAACGCTTCCATATTTTGCGCAAGCATTTAGAAGTTTGTTCCACGAGGATACGTCTTTCTGTCCCATTCTAGTGAAAAAGTTCCAAACATCACACAAACACCCGTTCTGGGCATAAGCTTTGAGCATTATGTTCCACGAGAAGAGGTCGGGGTTTATGATCCCGTGGAAAACTTGGGCTGCATTTTGGATGCTCCCGCAGTTCCCGTACATTTCTATGAGCTTGTTAGCTAGGAACCTACTGTATTGGTACTCTGTTTGCAGAATTTGCATGTGAATTCTTTTGCCAGTTTTTAGACTGTGGCATTGTTTGAGAGATTGAGCAAAATCACCTATAGATGGCATTAGTGAGCTGACATGAAAGAATAATGAGGATTCACCATCATAAACAGCCTTGGTTAAAGTTTGGAGAGAAAAGATCAATCCCAGTAAGGCACAATCAAGAGTGTAAATATAATCATAAAGAAAAAAATATTCAACATGTTTATTATTTTTTATGAATGTTTAAAAAATGTTAATATATTTATTATTTTCATATAAAATATAAAAAAAAACAGTTATTTAAATACATTGCACTTCATGGATAAAAACAAATGACTATAAAAATTTCAAAAAATGATTATGGACAATGAGTATTCATTTAATGATGAAAAGTAGATCTCAATTATAAAAAAATTCCAAATATCTAGCCTCACTGTTCATTTATATATTTAACATTTTGGAAATACTAATTTCATTTTATTTCAAATTTATTTCCAAAATATATATATTTTAAAAAATTAAATTATAAATATAATTGAGAAAAAATATTATAAAGATTGAAAGCTTATCTAATATATTATCTTTAATGCACTTTCTACTATTTCTAATTTTTGGCATTATAACAATATTCATTTCCTCTTCAATATAAAAACTTTCAATTTAAAATGTCATATATATCATTATGTTAAACAAATAAAATTTATAAATCATGTAAAAAATTTAAACTTAAAATTATTTAACTCCTTCAATAAGTACAAATTTATTTTCCGAATGGATCTTTAACCACTCTACTCAAACCATTCAAGTAATTTGCATGAAAATCTTTTCACATGAGATGCTATCATCTAAAAGACTAATGTATTCACCTCATATATAATACTAAATCATTAAATTATCATCTAGAATTTTACAAATGCTAAAACAAAAAATTATTTAATCATTTTGAAAAGAGAGTATAAAATTAAATTTTATAAAAAAATTATGGCTATGGATTTATATTGACTTAAATATAGTGAAAAGGTGAAATGCATTATTCAAAAGACTTGTTAAATTTAAAGTATTAAATTAATATGTTATTTTAAGGATAATACAGATTTATTTTCAAAACTATTGGCATATAAATACTTTTTTTCCATTTTTTTCATATTTAAAGTCATACAAAAGCATTCATTATAGCTAAGTAATTTAAATAAATGAATTATTTTTATACTTTAATCAATTTAATATGTTAATAAAATAGAATTTTAAATTTTTATGATATTAAATCTCAAAATATAATTTCCAAAAAAATTATAAAAATGTTTTTAAAATGTTTTTCAAATATTACATGATTGTTAATCATAATTTAGCCATAGCAATAATTTCTTCGAATAAAATTATTGCATTAATAAGGTATCTGTGATGGTGATAACTATATTGTCAATAAATAAAGAAAAACAAAAAGTTTTAATTAATCTGTCAAAATTATAATAACTACTTAATTAATATTTTTGGTATTAAATATTCCTTTTGCCTGAGAAGATTGAATCACTTTTTTCTCTAAACTTTTTAAAATATATTGCATAGTTAACCTTTGTATATTAGTGAACAAAGTTTTTTGTCCTTGTGAGTGTACTTATCATTAAAATATAACCTTGTTTTATATTTGAAACTTATTCTTCTCCAATTAAATTGCATTATCGTACTCAATTATTTGGTATAAGTTTTTAGAATATAAACACACTATAATAGTACTTTGAATTTTATGATAATTATTTTTTTCTACTTATTTAAAATTGTGGTTTTCATGACAAAGCAGACAATGGTTGCTAGGCTTTAAAAGTTTAATGTTTATATGTAATAGCAATCCACACATACAGTTCCAAGAGGCTTAGTTTAGATTGTATTTACTTAATGATTTTAAATTTGATACACTTATAGTAGCTAATTATAGTTCTTATCATATTTTTTAATTTATATTTTAATATAAAACTTAAAATTAAAATGTTCTTTTGATTAAATATATTTGATTTAGTTATTATCTATAATAATAAGAACAAAGGGGCCAAACCCCTGCATCCGTCCGATCCCGGGCCCAGGGCAACCTCGGAAGCCATGGTTCTCTGGAAGGGGAGTCCACCCCAAGCGTGGGCCAGGGTTGGTGGCCATGGTTAGCCAAAATATTGGCTCAATGTTGTGGCAGCTAATGGGCGGGATGCATGTGTGGTCGGGAAGAGAAGAGGGCATGGTGACAACACCATGCACTCCTAAGGCTCCATAGTTGCTCTACTTACTTGCGGTGCATAGCATTTGCTAGGTAAGTACTTGTAATATAATAAACTGCAAACTTGATTTTCTAATGCATGAGTGTCTTACTTTATAATTCAATATTGCAAAACCTATTTAACACTGGAAATGAAACAATGTTTGCCTTAATATATTTAAGTTTTATATTTCTGACATTCAATTATGTTGAGTAATATTAAAGTAAAAGTAATTATAAATGTAATTTTACATTAATATATAAAAGTATTTATCAATTTGAATTATAAAATAAATTTATTTTTGTAAATAAAATTGAATCTCATTTATAAGATCTTGTTAGTGTAAACCACTCTTAATAATTACTAATAACATGTATTTAAAAATTAATATACTAAACGACATGATTCAACTTGACCAAGCATTAGATCTTTATATTTATATGAAGTAAATGAGATTTACTTCATCATTTTTTTCACCTATTATTTTAACATCATACCAAAATTCAGTTTTTCCTCTCCAATGTCTTTCAAATTCAATCCATAATTATTTTCTATCTTTGATATTAATAACTTTTATTATAGTATCTTTATATTGACAATGTAGTTTTGAATTAAAACCCACTAAATTGTAAATATAAGCTTTATGAGTATTGGAAATAGAAAAACTTAAAAATACAGCTAAAAATAGATAAACCATTTTACAATTTTGTAATATTATATAATATTTAACAAGAAAAAACTTATTTTTTATATTTAGTAGAATATTTAACAAGACAAGTGTTTTTATTAAGAAATTCTGTATTTAAAAATAAGAAAATTAGCTTTAAGTTCTTGTTTCTTTTGAGAATATTTTAAAAGAGTAGGATGTTTTAATGAGTGAAAATATTTTTTTATTTTCTCGAGGTATAGTCGATATCCCTAATATGTCTTGATATTCTGATATATTTTACCATCTAACGGATTTAGATTTTTTTTAAAATAAATTCTAAAACATGTTTACTTTCTTAAATAAGAGTTACATCCTTACAATTTATATTTTGCCTTGGTCTTACAATTTATATTTTGGTTTTGATGGCTTTGTTCATCTCTTACAGGATCAAATATGAAACACCATGGATCCAGTTCTAAATTGCTACATAGTGTACTTTTAGAGCTTTAAATTATCAAAAGACCACCATCTCCACTTTTTATATGCCCACTGTTTGGTTTTCTATTTTTTAATTTAGTTTTGTGTTAAGTGTTGCTCTATTCTTTTGAATTATAATATATATTCCTTCCATTTCAATTTCAAAATGCATTTAATAATGTCAAGAATGGTGCACCAAAAATAGTCCTATTAGCCTAATCCCACATTAAAGCCTCCTCTTGCCTCCATGAAATAAAGTGCCACCATGGAAGAGATAGAGAGGGTGGGGACAGGGAGTATCTCAAACATTAAGAGTTGAAGGTAAAGATTACCCTCAAGGGGAAAAGGAATATCCTGTTTTACCAACTTATATTCCCTGCAACATTGTTGATTATCTCACACAATGGCAGAAAACGTCTCCCATATCCGGCTGCTGGATTTAATGGACAAATCTGATCATAGCCCCCTGGCCTTTCGACTACAAACTACAGAGGCTTACCTTTGTATGACTGAGGACAGCCGCAAGGGACGAGGCAGGACAACACTGATGCCAACGAGATTGGACGAAATGGTTATGGCAATTGTCATAGCTACATATTTTAACGGGCTACAGCAATTATCACATATACATATTTCATCGGACTTTTGTAAATAATATATGAATGAATGAATTAAACAATGTATAAATGAAGGCAGCAAATTTAGTCCAATATACAGCCAAACGAAATGAATGAATGAATGAATTGTCTCTAAAAATTCCTACAAAAAAATTCTACACAAAACAATCAACCGGTAGATCCAGTCGTCCAGATCAAGGAATCCCAAAGAGAACCAGCACTCCAGCGAGCATCAGCCACACAAGATGGACGAGAAGCAAAGCCTGCCCGGCCATGGCGCCCTTTCCCAAACCTCCTCCATTTCCAGGGCTACAGTAGCCGGTGTGCGAGATCTCCACGCCGTCGCAAGCGGCATCGCGAGAGCCACACCAATACGTCACGCCGTTCGCCCCACACACTGGATCCGCGCGCAGGCAGCTCACCGGGCACTCGATCTTGGCGGCATCTCCCCCGTCTAGAACCCTAGAACCTGAATCGATGATCGACAAGCGCTGGTCGTCCTGATCGCCGGAGACGAGCGCCAGAAATGCAAGGAGCTGGAGCGCCCACAAGAGCGAATTCTTCTTCCTTCCCATCGATTCATACCCTAACACGCGTTCTTTCTTTCGCAACGTTTATTTGTAAGAACGGAGGTTATTAACAATGCATATCCCAGAGAATCAACTTGTACTTAAATCAAAAGAAACACATCAAAAATTCATTTTAAAGGCCAAAAAAGAAGGAAAAAAATCTCGCTCACGCTCAAGAGAGCTTTGCATTCCTCAACACGTCCATAGCTTCCGCAACCTTGGCCTTGAGTGCTTCAGGCGATTCAATCAAGTGTAACACCTCGGTTTGATCCATCTCCAACAGCATGCCCGTCACCTTCCCCGCGCACTCGTGCTCCAAGTTATCCACCAGCGGATACAGCTGCTCTCCAAGCATCTGTTCGAGTGCTCACATATAAGTATTGTCCCAAGTATCAAAACGATAAAACTTACCACTCGTTGATCGGTTGGTGATGCCGACGCCAAAGCAGAGGCAAGAACATTGATCGGAGGAAGAATTCCAGTCTCGGAGGCTTCTAGTGGCACGGGAAGCATCCCACCCGCATCAGACGAATTCCTAGAGGTCGGAGTGTAACGGAAGTTGCGTCCTCGCTTTATTCCATCACCAAAAACCGAAGTTAGTTCTTCCTCTCTTACACAGACACAACATACCTGTTGAGACATCAACTGCGGTGGCTGCTGCTGCTGCTGCTGCTGCTGCTGTTGCTGCTGCGGAGCACCGCCCCTGCGAGCGTTCGGCCGCTGCTGTGGTTGAGGTTGGCGTTGGACAATCGGCAGAGAGTAGAAAGGTAATTGAGGTCCACCGGGCCTCATTCCAGACATCATCTGCTGCTGATACGCGAATCCAGCCGGCTAGAAACGAAGTGGATGTCGTTAGAAAAACCAATGCCTTGATGCAGAGGCTGACACTTACTTGAGGTGGAAAAGCTGGCGGATGCTGGCCGTAGAAAACTGGCTGCCCCATCCCTGCTCCAGGGTGAAACATGGGAACACTCGAAGCAACAGCTGGTCCTAGCCCGACCGGAACCCGGAATGGTGCAAACTGCGCTTGAGCAGCCTGTCAAACATTGAATTGATCGTTCGTTAAGAGACCAAGCACGAAGGTTTCTACTCACGTTGAATCGCCGCCTTTCATCGCGCTTTTGGGCCAGCGCGACATAAATCGGCTTATTTGCAACCATCCTACCGTTCATCTCAGTCATCTGTTTTACCATAAATTAGAAACGACACCGCGTAGAAGTTTGGATGAAAGAGACGTACCGCTCGGTTGGCTTCTTCTGTCGTGGAGAAGGCCACAAAGCCAGATCCTTTGCTGTGTCCCTGCGGATCCCGCATCACCTACAAGTATTCCAGAAGTCCAAAAATATAAGCGTGGCTTGAACACTGGCATAAGAAAGAGAAAGAGATAAACAACTAACCTTGCATGAGATTATAGTTCCAAACCCGTGGAACAGCTCTCGGAGCTTGTCATCGTCAATGGTGTCATCCAGATTTTTCAAGTAGAGGTTGACGCCTTGATACTTGTCACTCCGCTCCTTCCTCTCCTGGTCATACCTGGCCCTCAACTCGGCCTCCCTTTCGGACTTTTTCTGAGCCCTTCCCACGTACCACTCCTTGTCATCCATCTTCTTCCCGTTCAACTCTTCTACAGCCAGAGCAGCGTCGTCAGCATTCTCAAAGTTGACAAAGCCAAAGCACTTGGACTTCCCTTCCGGATCCCGCATCACTACCGCGCTGCTAATCGGCCCAAACTCTCCGAAAACCCGCTTCAAATCGTCGTCGGTGGTCGCGTCGCCCAGATTCTTTACATACACATTATTGAACTTTGCGATCCCCCCTGTCAAGTCCCTTTCCTGCCGTCGGACAAAAGGCCCCACAAACACTTGCTTTTCAATCAAAAGCATCCCATTCACTTGTTTAATAGCACTTTGTGCCGCGTCTTCCTGTTCAAACTGGACAAAGCCATAGCCCCTTGACTGACCACTGCTGTCCACGGCCACCTTGCACGAGAGGATGTTCCCAAACTGCGCGAAAGTATCATACAGTGCCTTGTTGTCGATGCTCTTGTCGAGGTTCTGCAAGGCAGAAAAGATCAATGCAGACGCGGAGAACCAAAAGAAGCTTGCGTACCTTGATGAAAATGTTTGCCATTCCACTCTTTCGAATGCTGGGGTCCCGATGAGAAAACATGATACGTATCGGCTTCCCATTGACGAGAGAAAAGTTTAGCATCTCCAGCGCTCGGCTGGCTGCAAAGACACCCAAGTAAGAGATACGAGAAAGGAAAACTGAAGCAAAACTTACCATCCTGACCAGTGTTGTAATTGACATAAGCATATCCGAGGGAGCGCTTGGAGATAAGATCCCGACACACCCGAATGGACAGCACTGGAGCAACCTGGTTGAAGACATCGTAGAGCTGGCCCTCAGTCACATTCGGATCCAAATCGCCCACATAGAGTGAAGTCGAGAAGAACTGGTTTGGAGCCGCCGGAGAGACCGGGACAGAGACCGGGACTGGGACTGGCACTGCTCCAGCGCTGCCGGGAGAAGGCTGGACTTGAATCTGAGCCATGGTGTGTTTTTTTTTCTATTTTTTCCCTCCCCTTTATGATTTTTTTGGTCTTTTTTTTCTGCAAAAGAGCACACAGAACTTGAGCTGCTGGAGCGCGATCGACCGCTTACCTGAGCGCCGGCGTGGGAGGAGCAGCCGATCGCAGGGATCAAAACGGCGCCAGCTCCCAGGCGATGAACCCTAAGGGCTACCTTTGTGTTGGAAAACCCTAAACGAAGGCAGAGCGCCGCGTTGCCCTTTGGCGGCGCGGGCAAACTAAAACCAGCATTAAAATTTACTAAATTTTTTTAACCCTAAGACAAGAGACACGACGTTCCCGGTGGAATTTTTGGTTCGATTCGGCCGACGGAAACTTTGGCTAAGAGAGATCGAACTCTCGACGATCATTATTAGGGCTACTTTTCAAACATTCCCGCCAAGCAGGCGACACGTGGTGGACATCCGACGGTGTTGCTCACGGGCACTCCCGGCCGTTGATAACCGGGGATTGTGTGAGCTACTTGGCGGGATCGCGACCGCGAGTTTGAAGCACTCATGGAAAAAGAGCGGGCTACCAGGTTTATACATGGGCGAGAGGGAACAAGTTTTCTAGGGTTGGCGCCTCTAGGCTTGATCTATCGGGGGTGGGATGGCAGAGAATGCGCAGCGGATGCTCACTCGCGCCGCTGCTAGGAAGTCGCAAGCTGAATCCAAGCGCGCCGCCGTCTCCTCCGATGCCGTTCCTCCAGCGAAGAAGCGTCGGCCGCTAGGGATCTTGCCAAACAGCGCTCCAGGCGTCTCTGCGAAATCCCGGAGCGCGGTTGCCGGGAAGAAAAAAGCCGCCTCAAATGCTCCGGAGGAAGGTACGTCTTTTGGGCTTGCTTGTATCGACCCTTTGCTTAGATCGATGGCTCATGGAAAAGTTTTTCTCCACAGTCGTGCTCAAGGGCGTGAAAGACATCGACGATTCACATGACAATCCTCAAATGTGTAGCGTGTATGCTCCGGATATCTTCGACTACATTCGCAGGAGTGAGGTCAGTGTGCCATTCATCTCTCGGAGCTTTTTCTTTCTGTTCTTACGTTCTATACAGGTCAGACAAAGATATAATCCAGACTACATGCAAGTGATCCAGACTGACATCAACGCTAATATGCGAGCGATCCTTGTAGACTGGCTAGTTGAGGTGAGAAGTTCTTTTCTTTCCGCGAGGTAACATAGTCTATGATTGTACAGGTAGCGGAGGAATACAAACTCGTCCCAGATACGCTCTATCTCACAGTTTCTTACGTCGATCAATACCTGTCGGCAAATCATGTCACCCGTCAAACGCTGCAATTGCTTGGAGTTTCCTGTATGCTAATAGCCTCGTAAGTTCGTCGCAACGCAATGTGAAAGCTTATTCTCTAACGTGGTTTTTCCAGCAAGTATGAGGAGATCTGTGCACCGCAAGTAGAAGATTTTTGCTACATCACGGACAATACCTACACGAGAGAGGAAGTGTTAGACATGGAAAGGAAAGTCTTGCGGCATCTGCGTTTTGACCTCGCTGTCCCTACGACAAAAACTTTTTTAAGGTGCGCGCGATATTGGCAAGCGTTTGATGAGGTTTATATTGGTCTTGTTTTTCAGGAGATTTATCAGAGCTGCTCAAAGTTCTTACCAGGTCGGAATCTCTAGTCTATAATCGCTGTTCGAGTTCTTCTGACGGAGATTTGTCCATGTTTCAGGTCCCGTCACTGCAACTGGAATTCTTGGGGAACTACCTGGCAGAACTTACGCTGTTGGAATATAACTTTCTGAAATTTTCTTCTTCACTTGTAGCGGCGTCAATTGTTTTTCTGGCCAGGATCACGATAGACTCTTCTGCAAGGCCTTGGGTATGCAATCCTGTATCGCTGTATGCATCACTGACTTGTTTCTGTTCAGAGCACTACATTGCAGCATTACAGTGGATATCGACCGTCACAACTTGAGGCGTGCGTTCTGGCAATTCACGGCCTCCAAACAAAGAGTAGTACACTACCTGGCGTTCGGGAAAAGTACAAGCAGCACAAGGTATAATCGATTCTGTGCAGTGCAATTCAATCGCTTGACATTCCTGAACGCTTGCAGTTCAAGTGCGTGGCTACTCTACAGCCGCCTCCCGTGCTGTTCTTCCAATACTTCGACGATAGCACGCTAGAGAGCTAGCTATATGTGACCGGACTGTCACTACTTCGTCGACTGTGGGCTTAGAAGGCGAGCCGAGCGGCATATTTAACTTCTACTTGCGAGCTGGAGAAACTTTCTGCCAGTTTCCGCTGAAACTAATCATCGCGTTGCGCGATAAATGCTGTAAATTCGTTTTTTGGAAGGCTGCTCCAGCGAGCCTCTGGAATCAACTTTCATATAGCTATGTTTTTTCCAGCAACTTTTGATAGATGCAGAGAAACAAGACAGGCTCACTCACTCACCAATTTTGAGCTTTCTGGGCTCACTCTTAAGCAGCTATCCCTTTATTGGTGAGCCACAGGAAGGACAATACCTGAAGCTTGGGCTCAAGGGAGTGGAGCAAGACCAGCATTTGAGTGGGGCTTTGCTTTCTTCCATGAACTTAGAACTTAGATCAGCTCCAGGTGAGCGCGGCTGGATCGTTGCTACATCTGCAGGAACTAGGAGGCCACAATCATTACAGGAAATTCCAGGCCCTTTGGCCGGCCACCTCCACACGGGCACAAAGAACGCCTTCAACACCTTGTCATAATCCACTAGGTCTGCAGGCCCTCCACAACGAAGACACCGTGCGGCATTTCTTTCAAGTACCTTTCGGACCTCGGCTGAGACTCCACCCAGGAAGAAGAAGAACATGACAAAGAGTTAACCAAAACCCCAGTATGTGAATCTGTGTAAAGTTTTTGGCCTTCTTCATGAGGTGGCAGTGGAGTTTCATTTTGATTGCATTGCATTTATGGGAGTGTTATTGAAGTTGTCAATGTCCTTTTTCATCTAGTTTGTAGATTGTGCAAAATTGTGGGTTGTTAATTCGTGCAGATGTCGTAACAATCTACCTCATCTCATTTTAAGATCATGGAAAAAATTAAAGCTCCACTCGAATGCTAGTTTTGCTCATCTCCCTTGATAGTAAAGTTTCAGATATTGTCTTTTAAGAATAGAGTCCATAATATGTCCCATCGCAACGAGTACGTATCTGCAAGTAAGTTCAAGCGGTGGAATTCCAAGTTTTGTGTAACGTTTTGCTCAAATGGTATTTTTTTCACAACTTCACACAGATGGGACTTGCAAAGTTTCCTCCACTCGAACTGGATCTCCAACACGAACTAACTCGTTCTTCATCATCACGGACTCCACGCAAACAGCGTTTTGGCCGAAGAAAACCTGCACTTGTAAACAAAGGTCAGGCAAGTTATGTTAACGTTTTAAAGAACTTACCTTGTTTTTCACAGATTGAACAGCGCATAGCATCTCTCCCTTGCGGAACTCCATGAGTGTCAAGGTCGGCTCGGCTCCCATCTCGGTTGTCTCTTGGTTGATTGTAGGTATCTACAAGTAAGTTCAAACAGTGGGAATTCCAAGTTTTCTAAGCTCAGGCGAACCTTGCATCTGGCACAAAGCTTGACTCCATGAAAGGTCAGGTTTTTGATCTTAAACGTCCGCCAGGTATCCTCTGCGAAGGGCTCGCAGCCTTGGACGATTATACTGCACCGAGGTAAATGCAAACAAAACCAGACAGCAAAATCTTCTTACTTTGGCCTGAACCGATTCATTGGAAGTTGATTCCGCAAGCGCTTGTTCACAGCGTCAAGAGAAGCCTGCGGAAGATCAAAGAGAGAACTTTAACGATAGAGACGAACCTGGGAAGCAACGAGAAATGGAAAACCATCGGTGAAGGAGGCTTTGTATCCGTCAGCATACTCGGTATCAGTCGGTCGCTCCATCGCAGCTATCACCACGTACTTGTCTGCGTTTAAATTTCTGTCAAACATTTCTTACCAGGATCTAGACGCACAAGGTGGCAAGTTCTTCCAAGATAAGCGGAGAACCACTTGTGTGCTGCTGTTCCTTCGTCCAGTGCTCCGCCAGACCACTCCCACACCGAAGCATGGACTTTCTCTTTGCTGCCAAACAAAGGGACTTGAAGCGTGGTCTCCATTCCCGGGGCTTGGAATGCTACGAAGAAGAAAGAGTAAGTTCTTTCTTTCTTGTGCTTCTTCTGCTTACACACTGAAGAATTCGCTGGTAGAGACTGTAGAGGAGCAGTGAAAAGCTCGGGAGGCATAATTGGCTGGATCAAAGCAAGCTTTGGCTCCACTCTTTGGGTGAGCATCCTTCCTCTGTCATTGACAACAAGCCAGTGCCTATCCCATCGAAATCCTGTTCTTCAAGGATAAGTTTTCTTCGTTTTTTCGCAGGCAATGCGAGCTCTAAGAAATTCATTCAATCTTACCAGTCGGGCAGATCGCGGCGGCGTCAATCTCGATCCCTTTGCACGACTTGACTGGGTAGACAAAGAGCGACTTGACGACCATGGGCGAGTCCTCCATAGCCACCGCTAGAGAAGCTTCTATCGAAGGTTCGATCCAAACTCTATTATCTGGTGTCGTTTAAATGGGCGAGAGGGCTCTAGGGCTTTGCAGAGGAGACGACAATGGCGGAGGATCAAGCGCAAGCGCGAGCTCGCGAGAGGATGGAGGCGACCAACCAAGCGACGATAGCGGGCGCCAAGGGCGCGCTTCTGTCGACGGCGATCACTGCTCCAATTGTGCTCTTGTCGGCGCGGAAATTCGAGTGGGTGAGGAAGAATATCAAGCCCACCGGGCGGGCGATCCTGGTTTGCTTCCCAGCGGTGGGGACGTTCTTCGTTGTGGCGGATAAATCGATCCTTAAGAGCGCCCGCGATACATCGCTCGCCAGGATCCAGAACAAAACCTAGATAGAAATGAAATTGTTTTTAACCCTTTGGGTTTGAAATGCCACATTTAGGTATGGGTTTTTGGAAAAATTCTTTCTAGCAAAATTTGAGTTTCGCACTTAGACTTTTTTTTTTTTTTTTCTGATGCAGTGCTCACACTTCAGGCACCGGGCATGGTTTGCGTTCCTTGTGTGTTGTATTTTCATGTTATGATTTAACAATGGCTTGTTTGTTTGGTGAAAAATTCTTGTGTGGTTTTCTCACGCAGGACCTGCCGAAACTGGTGAGTTTCGAGGCCATTTTATTATTGGATCCTAGCTTGTTTCTGCAGACCTCTCTCAGGGATGAGCTTTGTAAGTCTCTGAGGGCTCTGCCGGATCTGGATGGTTTGTTGGACTTCTATCATCAACCTTTCCCGAAACACTTGAGATTCCCTATGTTTTCAAGGTGCTGCCCAGCCGGGCGTGATGAACAGCTCTGCTATTCGTATGCAGTTTTTTCTGCAGCATTCTCAACGGCGTGGACGCCCACGGTACAGAGCAAACATTCCATTACGCCTACGACAAGCTCGTAAAAGAACCCTTCTCTTATGGCATTGACTGTGTTGACTTTTTATTGACTTTCATTGACTTTATGATCCGATTTTGAGCGGAGATCTCGATTGAACTCTGGCGCTCCTGAATATTTCTGGATTATTGACTTTCAATGGCACCGTTTCATTAGGGTTTACAACTCAAAAGACTTTGCATTGAATTAGTTTGACCTAAGAGTTTAATATATTTGCACCTGGAGCTGTCAGGATGGATATGGCGCTGCGAGGCCTAGGCGATTCCATGGCGGCGCGTCTTGACCGTGGAAATGTAAGTATTCGTAGCTCGGGCTTGTGAATCTGCCTGCTTGGCTCAAGAAATCTCTCTGATCGCATTGCATTGCGTGAAATTTCGGGTCTAGGTGTTACTCCCGCGGAGATGGGGGAGACCGACACTTGATCGGAAGTGTCGAAGTGGCTGGAGTGGGAGGTGTCGAGCACAAGGGCAAAACTCTGGCGTTCCTACACAAGAAGAGGATAGAAAATCTCAGCAACGGAGGACAGATGGGGCTCAGTATATGTTTCACGCGGAAAGTGGTGGCCAGGTCCGTGAATTTTCTTTCTTCCTTTTTTTCACGAGAACATCGTGTGATCGTGAATTTCCACTGAAGGTCAGAGTTTCTGTCCAAGAGAACTCGTTAAAATACATGGTGAATGTTGAGGCAAACTTACCCGATATCTTTCCAGGCGAGTCTCATATTCTTCTTCACTGGGTAACTTTTTGTTTTGTTTTGTTTTGTGTTTTTTTTTTTTTTTTCCATGAACGTCTAGACTCTGGTAACTTGACAGGGCCTCTTCAGGTCTGATTCCACTGACTGGGTACTTCTTGAGCCCAACGATGCTCCTGCGAGTACAAAATTTCTCGGTGGAAAGTAAGAAAAGTTCTCTCATATCAATTATCTGCGTTAAACATAGATTTTATTTGATTTGTTCGCACAGGAACGAGGCAATGCAAACACCTATGCAGCAGCTCGCATCCTGTGTTCAAACTCTACAGCTCGAGCTTCCTTTAAACATGGCACCTTTTTACGTTAGCTTCGTTCTCTGCAAGCCAGCGTGCAAGGACAGCAAAGACATGTGGATCAAGTAGGCCTTTTCTCCCTGCATCGTGTTCTAACATTTCTTGCAAATTTTTTCAGAAGCAACTCCGGCTCAAACTTTTGCGTCCCTTTGGGACTGCGCACTGGACGCCCCGATCCTCTCGGCGTAACTCTAGAAGCGGATGGTTCCGCTAACTTTGCTCTGTATTCCAAAAATGCTGCAAACGTTACGCTCTGCCTCTATGGCCCGAATGACGTTGAGCCAGCGGTAAGTTCCTGTGCCTGTGTTTTCTAACCTCCTTTTTCCTGGTGTTTTAGATGGAAATTGATCTCGAGTCTGTCACACATAGAACTGGAGACGTCTGGCACGTACAACTTCCAAGCATTGAAGGTTTTATCAGCTATGGTTACAGATGTAGAGTGAGTGGCAATCTCGTTTATCAGATCAAGTTACTAACAGGTATTCCAAACAGGGTGATGAAACCTGGGAAAATGGGAATCGTTTCCATAAGCGTCGCATTCTATTAGACCCTTACGCCAAGTTTGTTTCTCCATTCATCCCAGGCCAAGGTACTGAGCTTTTGTTCTTTTTGTCCCTGAAAATAGTGAAGTGTTATCGTGTAGAGGAACTACCATCGCCTGCTACTGCTCTAGGCTTACTGCCAACAAATGTGCCAACGTTTGACTGGGAAGAGGAATCATCCCCTTGGTATTAGATTCCAAAACCATTGCTAGTTTCTAATGTATGAGCTTTTCAGTATTCCCCTGGAACAAGTTGTTGCCTACAGACTGGATGTCGCAGGGTTTACAAGTCATTCCTCCTGTGGGCTGGACGAGCGATTGCGTGGTACATTTTTGGGACTCGTTGAAAAGATATCACATTTTCAGTCTCTTGGTAAGAAGACAGGCTAAGTGTTCCTTTTGCTAATTCTGGTTGAACATGAAGGTGTTAATACGATTATTGTACGTCCAATTTTCTCTTACGATAGATCTCAAGGTCCCTATTATCCTTTCAGGTATGAAATCTCAAACTGAAATAATTTGATTCGACTTTCCAATGCTTTTCATAGCTTTTTCTCTCCAATGGAAGACTACGGTTCTGGTAGTAGTAGCCTGGATGCAAGCATCTCCTTCAAGAAAATGGTGAAAGCGCTACACAAAAATGGCATTGAGGTGACGCTGCTCTTTGTTTTGTTTTCTCTAAAGGTTATTCTATGTAGTTGATCTTGGACGTGGTGTATACACACACTTCTGAGAAAGGAGATGAGGATCCGGAAACTGTATCCTTTCGTGGAATTGATAATCAGACTTACTACATTCTTGACAAACAAAAACGGTATGCATGTCATTTCATTCAAGGTGTTTATAGTTCCGTGTCGTTAAATGCTTAGGATTTTGCAATCAAAGTTCGGTGCTGCGAACGTTTTCAACTGTAACCATCCTGCGGTACACAAAGTGGTGAGTGTGGATTCCTTTTTGTATTACAGCTTCCTTGTTTTTCAGGTTGTGGATAGTTTACGTTATTGGGTCGAAGAATACCATGTAGACGGATTTTGTTTTGTCAATGCTCGTGATCTCACGAGAGGACCGCATGGAGAGGATCTCTCTCGGCCACTTCTTCTCGAAGCTATCACTTTTGATCCCGTCCTTGCATCTACGAAACTGATTGCGGATCCGTACTCACCATTGTCTTCTGTTCCCGAGGTAATTCATGTGTAAGTTTGTTTGTCACTCTGTTTCCTCTGTGTTTGATTCTTCCAGCCTCTCAAGTTTCCACACTGGAAACGGTGGTGCGAATGCAACATAAACTTTCAAATGGATATGACTAGTTTCTTTCGAGGTGAACAAGGAAAGCAGGGTGATCTCGCAACCAGAATTTGCGGAAGGTATGATTAATAGCTTTTCAGTAAGATTAAGAAAGTGCTTTCTTTCCAGTGCTGATATGTTTGCAGATGAGCGAGGGCCATCTTTTTCTCTAAACCACATAACGAATGCATATGGGTTCTCAACGCTATCAGATTCAACATCTAACAGGTTAGAAGAAACATGATATGCTTTCAGAGCATTGTTTTCGTTGTGTGTGTTTGAACTAACGTTCTTAGCAGCAAAACGGAGCCAAATGTCGAACTTCAGGTATTTTAGACCCCGAAAATTGATTGTGCCTCATTTCCTACTCCTTTGCAGCTCCACAATCTTCTTGTTACACAATTCTTGTCGCGAGGGACCCCCGTCTTAAATATGGGAGATGAATCTGGACTTTTAGACGACGGCAAGGCTATGTAAGACAGTTTGTTTTTAGAGCAGTTCTTTATCTAACACAAAATGTTAGACAATTTGACTGGCAGAAGCTAGCCTCCGCAATGCACACAGTTAATCTTATTTCATCTCTTTCTTTATTGCGAAGTCAACACGAGAGCCTATTACAGGTTTTAACATATGGCACGCAATCTCAATATCTCATCTGTGTTTTTACTTGTGGCAGAAGAACAAGTTCGTAAGTTCAGAAATGATCAAATGGCACGGAGCAACATATGAGGAAGAACCTCTATGGACTGATCCAAACAGGTACAGTTCGTCTATTTCGGAAAAATAACCTTGACAAATTTTCACTTGCAGTAAATTTCTCGCTGTCACTCTGAAAGACAATGATACTGGTGATCTCTGCATAGCTTTCAATGCAAGAGATGATGTCGTTGAATTGACTCTCACAGAAGAAGCAACATGGTATGCTAAGCTTGATCTTAGAATAAATCCCTCATTGTTTGTGTGTTTTGTTATTGCAGGCTTAGAATCATAGACACCACCTTACCTTACCCAGAAACTATTGTTCTTAATGGAGCAGAACTAAGGTTGCCAGTTTCTGTAGTTACTTTCTCAAAGCATCTCACATTTTGTTTTCTTCAGCTCCGAAGCCGGCACCTCCAACGCCGGTGCCTCCTACAGTGTACAGCCATTCAGTGTTGTGGTGCTACGAGCAGGAAAATGCCAAGAACTAAAAGACCAAGCTTGAGTGACTAGAAAGCTATGAATGGGATTTTTGGTTTGAGGCCTTTGCGACTTTAGAATCCTTTTGACAAACCATATGATTCCAATTCACAACATTAAGCCCATACCATATCTGTTTGAATTTACAGTCCACTTGGGCCGAACTTAAGAGCATGCCCACTTGAATCTACTTTTCTCCCTTACACACTCTCACTCATCTTCAATCTTTTGGTAGTATTTACCTGCTAGAAGTGAAGGATAGAGGATGTGAGTCTCCGCCAACTTTTTCAGAATGACACTCATACACAGACGAAGAAAAGAAAGAAGACGAGAAGTATCAAACTTTTGCAAGCTTTTAATTTAATCAATAACTTCATAATTATAAAATACGTTGAGATGGCATATAGTTATTCCATTGCTATCACTCAAATGGAGGCCAGAAGACGTTCAAATCTACGCTGTAAGTCGTGTTGGTCGTCCTTATATCAACAGGAGTACTGCTCGCGAATCCCTGTGCAAAGAGAAAATCACCAGTTCCACCAGAGATTGGAGCAACATCCTTCTTGGTGGGATCAATCTCGGAAGAAAACGTGAGCGTTCCCTTGTATTTCCCTTCGGTGAGCCGGATTGTGAACGCCCAGCAAGTGCTAAGCCCATCCAGCTTACACACACTGCCAGTCCCACGGATTGATCCAATTACCTTGGAGTTAAAGTCCGGGGTCACGGTAACGGGGTCGTCAAACACGATCATCGTGCCGTACGGGCCGCTGACCGGCGTGATCCCGGTCCCAATGTTTGTGAGGCCCAAGATGAGGATGAAATCGGTGACGTTGAGCCGGTCTTGCCAGAAGATTTGGAATTTGTCCGAAGTATATCCCTTGGGAACCTTGCAAGCCACAACACAAAGAGCAATGCTAAGGAGGATTACGAAAGAAATGCTTGAGATCTTTGCCATCTCTTCCTTGTTTTTCTATGAGCCCTGGAATTTGAGAGATCAAAGCCTGGATTGGATTTCTAGCTTGGGACCTTGAGATATTAATATGCGGTAGAAATTCCTTTGACAAACATATGGTTCCAATTATCATAGGAACCAAACTATGATTCAAAGGTGGCCAGAGACATGGGACTAAAGAACAATTAGCAAGCTTCCAATCCCTTGTCAATGCTGTATTTCTCATGTAGATAAGAAGATGCCAAAAGCATATTTTCGAACGTGATATTTTTACCTTTTACCCTTGCCTCGCTGGCATCATCTGGATCGTTGGATCCCTGCGCTTTGGACATTAGGGATTGCGTTTAGTCTCTGTGGAGGGGGCGAGAGCTTCAAGCGGTCGGGCGCGCGCTCGCTCGCTCGCTCGCTCGGTCGAGCGGATCGGCTAGTCCTAGCTCGTCAGGTTTCTCTGTTGCCGATCCGGATTCTCGGCTCTGGGGTTTGATATTCTCCTCTTTGATCGCTCCGGCACCCCACGCATTGTACTGTTTCTTCCTTATCGTCTCCTCCTCTCTCGCGTGCTGGCTTTGGCGAGGCCGCATTTTGATTTCTCCTCTGTGCTCGCCAGGAATCATGGCATCGGCGATGCTTGGGAGCTGCTGCGCGACACTCCCGTGCAAAATTTCCGCCAGGCAGCAGCTCTTCCTCCACGAATTACGCGGCCGACGCAGCTGGAGTTCTCCCAGGCTCGGTCAGTTCTTGAATTTGTCGACGAACCAAAGGTGTGTAGCTCTTTTTTTTTTTTTCAAGTAAAGTTCTACTGGATTGTCTTCTTTCAGGATTTACTGTGCGCTATCAAGTGAATCCACGACAACCAAAAAGGTGAATAGCTCGATCTTATCTTCTCGAGGCTTAAGCATGCTTTCCAGGAAGTTGAAGAGGAGGAAGTTCCATTGCCTATTGTTGTAATCGACCAGGATGCTGATCCTCACACCACTGTTGTCGAAGTTAGCTTTGGCGATCGGCTTGGGGCACTGCTTGACACGGTGAGTGTCATCTCTTAATTTTTCTATAACAGAGAAGTAAGCTGTTTCTTCCTCTGTTCAGATGAAATCGCTGCGAGATCTTGGATTAACTGTGGTCAAGGGGAACGTTAAGATGGTTGGAAATACCAGGCGCAACAGGTTCTCCATCACACGCGCGTAAGCTACTTAAAGTCCCATTTTTCTTGAGTTGGATAATTATTCCGTCTTAGATACGACGCTCTCTGCTGTTATAATAGAAAGCGAGCGGTGTTTTCAGGGATTATAGAGAGATTTGGATTTGGATGCTTCCAATTTGATCTCTCATCCTTGCTTTGGCAGGGATAATGGTCGGAAGGTTGAGGATCCTGAGCTGCTGGAGTCCATTCGCCTGACGATTATTGACAACCTCTTGAAGTACCATCCAGTATGGCGATTTCGTTTTCTCTGTTCTTTGAGGATTTCATTTGATGTTTGTGCAGGAGTCGAGTGCTCGATTAGCCATGGGAGAAGCTTTCGGCATTAAACCCCCGAAGAAGGTATAGTCTACTTGGATTTCCTGTATGCATTCGAAACTCTGGCTATCGGCTGCAGCAAGAGATTCAAACTTTTATCACCATCAAAGAAGATGGTTCAGATAAAAGGTGAGAAGATGAAGCTCATCTTGATTATTTTGTTTTACGTTTGCGTTTGTTCTCTTCTTTGTGCTGCAGCTTACTGACAATTGAGACCGCAGATAAACCTGGTCTCATGATTGAGATTCTCAAAATCATCAATGATATTAGCGTGTCTGTCGAATCAGCTGAAATGGATACTGAGGTACACTCTCTTATACAGATCTCATCATGCATCATACTTTTTCGTTCATCCAGGGTCTAATTGCAAAAGACAAGTTTCATGTTAGCTATGGAGGGAAAGCTCTGAGCAAATCGCTGTCCCAGGTATGGAAGTAGTTTCATTCTTTCTTTCTTCCTTTCCTTAATTCAACATCATCACAGGTTTTAACCAATTGCTTGAGGTACTACCTCAGAAGGCCCGTGGAAGAGGAGAGCTACTAGAGTTACTATAAATCCTTCTCCACAACATAGCTATATATCAAAACCTCACTCCGTCCTAGTACGAGACATGCTTGCAAGCCGGGGGATTCTCTTCATAAACTCCGCAGCAAGTGTCCAAGATATCAAAGCTAATGGTATCAATGAAATTGCCAAAAACTAAAGCCTTGGCTTCATCCAGGTTCGAACTGGAGACCTTCAGTGTGTTAGACTGACGTGATGACCAACTACACCATGAAACCAATGTGCTCTTTGCTGGAAAGACAATATCTAAATTTGAGTTTTGGCAGGTTTTTGTCATTCTCATGACTAAGTTGCTTTGGCCGAGTGGTTAAGGCGTGTGCCTGCTAAGTACATGGGATTTCCCGCGAGAGTTCGAATCTCTCAGGCAACGAAAGATTGCACATTTTCGAAATTAAAATATTCTACACTTGCTTTAATTCAAAGTAAAACCAACACGATCGTCGAAGCGACGCTCCATGATTCTTATATAGCGGTTTTGATGAAAGAAGATTTCACCACGATCATGGGCAAGCTAAAGAATTTGATCCAAACGATCGCTAGATTATGCGAGAAGGTAGGATAGGCTAGCATTTCTATCAACGCGTTGTCGAAAGATGGAAAGAAGCGTGTAGAAACGCTGTTGAACGTTTCAAAAGGCTATAGCTAGAAATGCTATAGCCTTTCTTAGGTCTTGCTCATTTCTTTCCTCGTTTCCTCCAGGAAGAACAAGGCGCGCGGAGGAGGAAGAAGCTCGAGGCGATCAAGCTGGCCGCGCACAGGATTCTCGATCGCCTCCTCCGCAAGCTCCACATCGATCCGTATTCTTCCACTGGCGAGGTGAGAGAAATCTAGAGCGATATTTCGATCGGTATTTCACCAGGATTTCGCCCGGCAGACCGAGGAATCGATGATGTCGGCGATATTCGATCACCACCGCCACGCATCGGAGCTCTTCGCATCGGTCCCCAACACCGCGGCTGGAGATCCATCAAATTTCTGGAGCGAGGAGCTCAAGAAAGCCCCATTCCCGACCAACTCCTTCTGGCTCAACTACGTTCTCAAGGATGGATCACAGCCAGAGTACATTCATCCATACCTTGTTCAGTCCAAGCCAGGCGCCTTCACGATCTGCTATCCAGCCAGGATCGTTTCTCCAGCCTTCATCATCCAGGCATTCACGCAGGACATCACAATTTCTCATGGCCGAGGCAACGTCCCACACGTCATCTCACACTACGACGATCTTTCGGTAGCGCTGGAAGTTCCAGGCAAGCGCCTCAAGGTTCCTCTAGTTCGTGGAAGTCCATACGTGACGCTGGTTTTCAAGGGTGGCATCTCTAGCTCCAACTATGAACCAGTGACCATCTCAACGATTCATGCCATCTTGGAGCTCACATCAAGCCCCGACAATACCAAGCATCGCCTAGTTCTCAACAACAGGCAGACTTGGTGCATCTACTCTAGCTCGGCTATGGAGATTGTCAAGGATGGAGTGTCGGCTGTGCGAAGCAAGAGACCTTTCTCGGGTGCTTTGCGGCTGGCGTTGGTTCCTCGTCCTGAAAGCGAAGGGGTCCTGGACACTTTCAGTGGAAGATATCCCGTGAGAGGGCATGCAACCTTTGACAGGCCTTTCAGCATGGGCTTCGAGTGGAAGAGCCGCGGAAGGGGAGAGCTTCTCATGCTGTGCTTACCGATGCACAAGGAGATAATGGCTTCTCCAAGCCTGTCGACCTGCCGGGTGTCGAATCTCGTCTACTCCAGCATCGATGGAAGCTTGGAAGGCGTCGTGGGTGACAAGTGGTCGCTGGAGCCGAGGTCGGTTTCGTCTGCGTGGTACTCGGACTGTGGCATTTCGGACAGCTTCGCTCGCGACCAGATCAAGCACGCCTTGGACAGAGATGTACACGAGCTCTCGCAGATTTCTACCAACTCGAGCTACTTTTACGGCAAGGCCGCTGCTCGAGCTGCAAGGATGGCGCTCATAGCCGAGGAAGTTGGCCACTATGGAGTGATACCGAAGCTGAGAAGCTTTCTCGACGAGGCCGTCACGCCATGGCTCGACGGGAGCTTTGCGAGAAACGGGATAGTCTTTGATGCAAAGTGGGGGGGTCTGGTGAGCCGGGAGGGAGCCAGAGATCCGGGGGCCGACTTTGGAAATGGAGTCTACAACGATCATCACTACCACTGGGGTTACTTCGTCTACGCTGGAGCTGTTCTTGCCAAGATCGACAATGCCTGGGCCAGGAAGTACCGTGACCACCTCTACACTCTGGTGGGAGACTACATGACTTTTAGGAAGGAAGGCTCGAGCTTTCCAAGGCTGCGGTGCTTCGACCTGTGGCTCATGCATTCCTGGGCTGGGGGTCTGACGGAATTCGCGGATGGTCGCAACCAGGAAAGCACCAGCGAGGCTGTGAATGCGTACTACTCGGCGGCGCTACTTGGCATGGCTTTTGGGGACGTGGGACTCATCAACCACGGTCTCACACTCGCAGCTCTGGAGATTCATGCAGCGAAATCACTCTGGTTCGTCCCTTCCAGCTCCGATTCTTCGATCTACGAGGAGGAGTTTGCGAGAGACAACCGGGTCATCGGAGTTTTATGGGCCAACAAGAGAGACACAGGACTGTGGTTTGCTCCAGCCGAGAGCAGGGAATGCAGGGTTGGGATCCAGGTTCTTCCTCTCACTCCCATCACCGAGAAGCTGTTCGACGACAAAGGTTTTGTCCGGGAAGTTGTGCAGTGGACATGGCCCAGAGTGGAGCTCGCAAATGTTGCAGATGGATGGAAGGGATTTGCCTACGCTCTCGAGGCAGTCTCTGGGGATTCAAAGGCGGCTCTCAAGAACACTTTGGCACTCAAAGGACATGACGATGGGAACTCGCTCTCAAATATGCTCTGGTGGATATCTACTCGCCCGCCGTGCTAGACACGACTTTAGTCAACGTTTATAATGCAAGTAATATTCTGTATTTTATGCTGGTTCAACATGTAGATTCAGTTTCATTCTACTATAGGACAGCTTCACTCTAACCACTTGAGGGATGAATAACAGTGGTAATTGATTTTTGAACGTAACACACTTGAGGTGGATGATTATGGCAATATTTTTTAAGGTGTTGAGCTTGATGCTGTCAGAGTCGATGTTTTATGTCCATTCTAAAGTTATGAGTTTGAGAAGGTTTTCCATAGGCATCTATTGCATTCTATGGCGTGCAATTTGTAAAAGGGTGGATTTTACAACGGTGGATTTCACTCACACCACGTGTATGCTTGCTATTGGTCCATGTGTATTATGAGTGTGAAAAAAACACAGGCATAGAATATTTTATGAATATCCAATCCTTATGCCCCGGATGGGGCATCATGCCCATAGCAATGACCCATGCTATGTATGGAATGGAGCCATTCATGGCCCATAGACCCATTCATCCCATGCATTCGAGCAAGTTCTTGGTGCTCATGGCAAGAGTTTATCTTTTGTTGCAATGCATTTACAAATTGCACGCCTTTTTTAACATAGTGTCATAGCAAGCGTAAGTGAACTCCATCTAGAATTTGGGAGTATGGCAGCCTTGATCGTCATCAACAGCCATCGCCGTGTCCTCCCCACATTGCCGACCGCCGCTGTGCTGCTCGCAATCATCGATGCTCCCATTGTTACCCGCCGCAGCGTCTAGGCAATCGTTGAATCCTCTTGCTTCCTCTGTCTTGCATTGTGATTCTTGAGGTGCATTCACCATGGATGCGAAGAACTCCTGGGCTCTCATAGCTGGAAAATGTTGGAAATTGAGTCACACCTGGGCACACCTCTTTTAACATAGTGTTCATAACAAACGTAAGTGAACTCCATCTAGCTCCATTGCAAAGCCATGGATATATACTATCTGGAGTCATGTCTTTAATGGATCTCATTGAGTTTATCTTTCGTTGCAATTGATTTCCAATGTAGCTCTCTCAACACTTGAGTTTTGTACCATGATGCTTAGAAGATTTGCATATGACTCAAAAGTAGGTTGAAGTCTAACCAATTTGATGAATTGGTGGGGTTCATACTTCAATTGTGTACTATGCAAAGGTGCATAGTGTTGATGTTTAGACCTAGAGTTCTCTCAAGAGGAGCATGCTAAAGGAAATTTGAGAATGTGGAAGTTGCAATTGCATGTAGTAACATTCAGGATAACAATAGGCACTTTCAACATTTTCCAATTATAATTGTTTCAAATTGGACCTAGAGTTCTCTCAAGAGGAGCATGCTGAAGGAGATTTGAGAATATGGAAGTTGCAATTGCATGTAGTAACATTTAGGTGAGAAGAGCAATGACAATGGACACTTACAATATTTTCCAATCATAACCGTTTCAAATTTTGAAATTTGTAAAAAGGGTTTCCAAGCATGGGGCAAAACTATCCAATGTATGCCGTGTGCTGCGGCCGAAGAACTGAAGTTTTCAGGGATTGGAAGCTCGTGCTCACTTTGGTAAGAGTAGATTTGTAATAATTTCCTATATGGTGTAACCCTTTTGCAATGTTTGAGGTTTCTGGGTTTCCTCCTGGCATGGCAAACTGGAGACGATTTTATGACTTCTTTGAGGCACAACAATGGATCCAATAGGGGACAGGACCGAGGATTCTATATGATGCCTCCTCCTCTCAAGGCTCGACAATCCCTTTGACAAGGCAGCCCAAGACTACTTCTAATCTTGTGTCAATCACCGAGGGGAAAGGTCCTGCTGAAGAAAGCGACAGCGAGGGATATGTTACTACTCGAGATGCAAGCGAGGACGAGTTCACAGACCCAGAGGGTGATTTTGGTTCTACCAAACAAGTTGAGAGTTCCTCAAGCGAGGATGGGCATCATGTAGCACCCAAGCTCGATAGTTTTGACCCAGAACCTAAATTGGGAGCTGCTTTGGAAGCTATAGTGATTACCCTTGGTGAGACAAGCATAAGCCAAAAGGGTACCAAGGGCCGCAAGTGCCTATAATGGGCATTTGTGGAATATTTTGAATATTCTTACCTTTAACTTTGCCAATGAACTGGAAAGAGTCTCTTTCAAAGTGTGAAACATATTTCAAGACAATTATCTATTTTTATTGTGAAAGTGTCTACATTACTTCCACAACATTAGCCCAATCCATACAAGCTCTCTGGATTTTGGAGTGCCCAGTGGATCTTGTGTTTGGTCCACTCCTTTGACAGGTATGTTAAAGGGAAGAAAACTTCTCGTGTGCATGTGGAGAACCTGGGAAATCGAGTAGATGATGTACTCTGTCTCTCAACTTGGATCCAAATAGGCTCTCCCGGTCGGAACTCTGGAGAATCAACCGCAAAGTGATGGAACTTGGATAACTCTTTCGGGCTCATATCTATAAAATGTTCAAACATACAAGAGTTTTAGTTGTTTGTGAAAGTAAATAGTTACCTTGAATGATGTCCACAATCCAGCTGCGGAAGTTCTCTCCAAAGTCCTGATCAAAGATCAGGCAGTTGATGAACTCCGCAGGAGGAATGATCGTCCTTACCCGGAAGACCTGTAACAAAGCATCTGTCCCAATGAGTGAAAGCCCACCTAGCAATGCTGGACTCTTGTAAGGCCTTTGACGAGCTTCCATGCGCATTGAGTGTTGGAAGCCATCTTGGAGTAAGTCTCCCACTACGTTTGGCTCGATGAATAGGTAATGCCAAACCACCGCAGCCACGCATGCCTCCACAGCTTGCTCATAACCTTCACCAAGTTCGGTGAGTCTAGACTCAAGCACTGCATTGTAGTCAGTAATTGCAGGGTTCTCTAGGATGGAATCCACAGACTTGCGCCGATTGCCCTCCTCCTTTAGGCTTGATGCACCTCACAATTGGTTGAGTGCATTCCAGATATGCGACGCGCATGCTTTGAGGTCCATCTCATATAGTCCTCCTCGGGCAAGTCGTCCATCCTCGTTTGGAACCTTTCCAGCTGCAATTGCCAATGTTGCAATTGTACACCCGCGAGAAACCTGTGCATTACATTCGAACGCTTGGAATAGCAACCATCCCACAAAGATAGCCTGTGCATATAAAAGTGAGGAGCATATAAAACTTGTGCTTTAAACTTAACTTACCACATCTCGCTTTTCTTGTCGCAACGTCCTAGAATGCACTGGCATCCTGGGATGCCAATATGTGGCTCCTTCCCTAAGCACAAACAGTCCACGCGTCTGTAACACAAAATTACTCTAGTGAGCCAAGTGAAAATTAGACTTACCGATCCTAGAATCTGGCAAACAGCCTCCCTAATGGCTTTTGCATGTGGCCCACCCACATTTATTGTGGATTCCTCCCACACCAAAGCTCCTCCAATCTCAGACGTATAGACCACTTTGTAATTCGGTGTGCGGAGATTAGTATTGAAGGCGAATTGGAAACAACTGAATTCATTGTTTGGTGCAATCTAGAAGGACAAGTGAGGTAACTCCAATTCATAGGCAATCCATTGCTTACCAGAATGCGAGACGGCCTCAAACGTGTACGAGCAAGTCTGTATGGCCGAAGCATGGCCTTCTCGATGCAAAAACGAGAGAACTTACAATACAGTATTTCAACAGTGTCAAATAGTTCTCTCAATTGTTGTGCAGCCGCCCAATTCCTACGTAGGTCCCTGCACAAAACCATAAGATGGTATTAAGTGCTAAGAAATAGATACACGTACCTTTTCTCAATGAACCATGCTATTGTGGACTCAAGAATTGAAGGAGGCACATTAATACTTACTTCAGCAAGGAGCTGTTGGATTGTGTTGTCACAAAACACATCCTCGTACTGTGCTTCTGAAAGGCCAAGCTTAAGGAAAAGACTCTCCCAATCTTGCCAATGAGGCATGGCTTGGTTGAAAAGCACGTGCCGCAGAAATATTTCACCGCCAGCCCAATGGAATTCAGGGTGTTTAGCAATAGCGTCTAGCATCTCCTCGTCACTTGTGCTCTCCACGGCAAAGCAACCAAGAAGCTTGTGTTTCAGCCATTGCACCTGTAAGAGAACTTCAGCATCCCCCTGTGCCCTCACGTCAAGGGTTGTGGTGGCATCCTGTAAGGCAGAAACCTCCTCAATCTGCAGCATGATAAAGTTGGCACTATCCTGAGTGGTTAACTGAACAGCTTCATTAAATGCATTGGTGGCATCAATCCATCTTTATTGATGCTCCAACAATCTACATGCAAACATTAGTTCAATTTTCAATACCACAATTTTCAATTATCTTACTCTACTGTAGAAAAGTTGTCAAGCAACTCCATAAGCGTAAACGGAGTGGAGCTACTTCCCTCTAGAAAGGGGGGTGGAGGCACACCATGGTCTTCAAGGCCTCCGCCATCACTGTCATACACTACCATTGGCCTATCTGCACTCAGAAATTAGAAAATGAAGAAAATATTCATTTATGTTAATGCTTCTTACCAGCCGCATGGCCTGGAGCCACTATCTCTAGTGACAAGGATGTCTTTGGAGATCCTTGGTGTGGTTCATCCCCACCATCACCTTGTTCTTCGACTCCGCTAATGTCCATGTTGTTTTGTGTGGGGAGAGTTTCTTCCGGTAATGGAAGAATGTCCTCTTCATCCGCAGAGTCTTCTTCTTCATTATTCTCGCAAGGGTTTGGTTCCTACGTGGCTGGCCTTGGATCATCATTTGCAGTCAAGGTATTTGTAGCAGCTACAACTGCAAAGACCACAACATATATTTGTGAGGAGGGAACTTAAAAAAAAAATGACTTACGTTCACGAACATCCTTTTTTTCGAGTGCTCGGGCCTGTTTTTGATAACTTAGCCAATGTTTGTCAGTAAGATGCTCCATAACATTGTATAAATATATAACTGTTGCCCGATTGCCATTGGCCTTGTTTGCTATAGCTCCCCATGATGTTTGAGGAGGCCAGTAGCAAGGCCGGATAGAGCTGAGGCCAAATTTTGCAGACTCGGCATGGGCCTCACCACCATTGGACTGCCTTGCACGCCGGACAAATGCTCCTGGGTTGGT